AAAAAAAAAATGCAGACCTGCTGAGCCCCGCTGCAGGGCGTTGGACGTGCGTCTTTGCGGCGCCAGCTGGCGAGAGTGGAAGGGGTGGCTGCGGATGCTGCGGTTCGGAAGCATGCAAAGCACGCAGGCATTGCGGTGGTTTTGTGTGTTGCCTGCAGCTTGAAATGATCCGACGCCAACCTGGTGCGAATGCAAGCCGGTTGAATTGGGATTGCAAGCGGCGATCGCGATGGGCTGCAGATCCACCAATGGAACGCGAGCGGGGCGGGCATCACCGGGCGAGAGGCAAGCCATGCATCTGCGCATCCACGGCGTCACGTTGGCATCCCATCGTTGGCTCTCCCCAACAGCGCGTCGGAGGCTGGCATTACTGGCAAGGCCAAGCCTTGGGCTGGGATGCGGCGAATGGCATGCACGGTTGTCAGGCAGTCGCCACGGATTTGCATGCTGGCAACAATCGCGTCACAGATTGGCGGAAATTCATGCACTGTTGGGTCGGCATCAGCTGCTCTACCCCTTGCCGCGACGAGCCCGGAACGGAGGTCGAAAGCGAGAAAAAGAAAAAAAGTGTTGGGGTGTTGGGAGAGACGCGCGACGCGTCTCGAAAAGAAAAACAATTCTCGAAAAGAAAGGGCCGAGACGAGGGTCGGAGTCGGCTTTGTCTGGCCGCTTCTCCTGCTTTGGGTCGTGTCGTATTGTCTGGCATGGTTGCCCGTCTCTTGGCAGCTGAACAATGTCTCGCTTCGCTCTCGAAGCTCGATCGCGAGCAGGCACGTACCTAGCTCGAGCTATGCTTCTTTTTTCCTGTCTCGTCTCGTGTACATCGCTTGTAGCCCCTCACCTGCTTGCGCCATGTTGACCTGGACCTAGACTCAGGCGAGATGTCACGCTTATGGGCTCGGTCAGGGACCCTTGGCCTCGGTGACAAGAGACATTGACGTCGACGCGCGTCGTCGCCGCGTCCAACCGGATGCCCCGTCGAGCATGCAGGCACACCGCTCAATCCATCTCCGCCCGTGTCGGAGTCAACACGGCTCTCCACCCAACGCGTCGTGTCTCGCCTTCTTTCTCTCTTGCTCTTCGGCTCGACACTCCCGAATGCCACACAGTCTGCTCGGACACCGGAGACTCGGTCACCATGCTACTCCGGGTCCAAGTGCTGGGCGGAGGTGCAGATGCACCACCCCAACGCGGCATCTGCTTCCTTGGCTGCAACACAGACATCGGCATCGGACATGCATGATCCCAACTGCGCTCGGCCACGCACGCTTCTACGCAGAACGTCCCACAAAAACACACCCCCATCCACCCAATCGGTCGGTGCTGCAACGCTCAAAGGGTGCAACACTTGTCCAATGCATCCCAACCGCCTAGCCGAGCCACATGCCATCCCCCTTTCGCCGCCCTCGCTTCCACTCCAACGCCGCCCTCGCGCTCGGCCAAACATATCGACGCTGCCGAACCCTCGCCATTCGCGCTCGGAACACTCTAACAATGTCATCCTTTTTGTTGACCATTTTACGATTATTTTCTCTACCCGTTCTGACGGGTCCCTTTTTGCCTCCTGGCTGCAATTTTTGAAGCACGCCAAATCCATTTGTCCACCTGTCCGTCGTGAGCCTCTCAGTGCCGCAACCCAGTCTCAGACCCAACAATGCAACTCGCCTCGCCACGACCACGACTCTGCCTTGTTGGGAAGACTTTGACAAAAGTGACAGATCGGATTGCTTTTTTGTTTGTTAGTACAGACGCAGCGCCACATTGACACTCTGCAGCTCCTGCATGAGCAGCTTGGCCGCGTAGGGGATGTGGATCTGCGAGATGGCCGTGCGGTTGCGGCACGATCGGCACTCGTACGTCCCCTTCTTGAGGTTCGCCAGCGCCGTCAAGCCGCACAGATCGCACACGTGGATCCGGTACGGATCCGACACGTCAAACATGCGCTCCTTGAGGAAGCCGGCGATGCCGTGCGCGATCATGCAGTCGCGCTCCATCTCGCCGAATCGCAATCCTCCGCCGCGCGATCGTCCCTCGACGGGCTGGCGCGTCAGGATCTGCACCGGTCCACGAGCACGCGAGTGGATCTTGTCGTCCACCATGTGCTTCAGCCGCTGGTAGTACGTCGGCCCCAGATACACCTGCGCCTGCATCTTGCGTCCGGTGTGCCCGTGGTACATGACCTCGAGTCCACGCGACTGGTACCCGAGTCCGCGCAGGATCGACGACACCGCCTCCACCGTCAGCTCGGTGAAAGGCGTCGCATCGCCCTCCTGTCCCGAAAGCGCAGCCACCTTGGACAGCAGACACTCCACCAGATGTCCGATCGTCATTCGCGACGGAATCGCGTGCGGATTGATGATGATGTCCGGCGTGATGCCCTCCGCAGAGAACGGCATGTCCTCCTGCCGGTACATGATGCCCACCGTTCCCTTTTGGCCGTGACGCGAGGCAAACTTGTCGCCCGTCTGCGGCACGCGCGAGTTGCGCACGCGCACCTTGACAAACTTGTTGCCGTTCGAGTTGGTCGTAAGCAGCACCTGGTCGATAATGCCGTTCTCCGTCGACTTGAGCGAGATGCTCGCGTCCTTCTTCGTGTGCAGCTTCGACCGCATGCCCAGCTCCTCCGAGTCCGGCGGCAGCGGCGCCGTCTTGCCGATGATCACATCGTCGCCCGACACCCGCGTGCCCGGCGCCACCAGTCCGTCGGCGTCGATCTTGTCGTACGTGCCGTGCTTCATGCGGATCGTCGTGTCCCGATGCGGCTTCTCGAACTCCTCCAGCTGCATCACGCCCACCTTCTTCTCCTCGGCCATGTACCCGCGGTAGTACAGCGAGCGCATGAAGCCGCGGTCGATCGACGACTGGTTCATGATCACCGAGTCTTCCTGGTTGTAACCCGAGTAACACATGATTGCGACCACAGAGTTCTGACCCGCGGGCAACTCCCGGAATCGGATGTGTTCCATCGACCGAGTCGTGCCCAGCGGCTTCTGAGGATAGTATAGGACGTGGGCCATCGAATCCGCTCGAGAAAGGATGTTGGAGATCGGAACGCCAATCGCCTGTTTCCCCATGGCAGATTGATACACATTTCGCGGGGATTGGTTGTGATCTGGGAAGGGAACGATCGAGGCGCAAATGCCGAGGGTCATGGCGGGGTGGATCTCGCAATGGGTCCATGTGTCGGGTGCGATCGTGTGGACGGCCTTGAGACGGGCGGTGGGGTCGGCGGAGGTGAGGTTGATGTTGCCGTTGCGTTGCTTGTACTCGCGGGAGAGCTCGAGGTCGGTGGTGGTCATGCAGATGAGGACGGACTCCTCCTCCTCGGCGTCGAGGTACTCGATGACGCCTTCCTGGACGAGCTGCGTCCAGCGGAACTCCTCGCCGGTGGCCGGGACGGGCTGACCGATCATCTCGACGTGGTGCTTCTTGATCAGGAGCGTCATGTCGTGAGGATTGACGATAAAGACGGGGCGAAGCACACGCGATGCGTCGGTGTAGATGCGCAGTTCGCGCTCGCGGATGTCGCGCACCACCGAGACCTCGTGCGAGATGTCGTCCTTGCGGCGGAGGTCGCGCAGCGTGTCGACGAGCTGGCCGGGATCGTCGTGAGTGCCCATCCAGACGCCGTTGACAAAGACCTTGGTCGCCTTGGCGTGCGCCACCTGCATGTCGACGAGCGAGTCGAGGCCAAACTCTTCGAGGAACTCGACGATGGGCGCCGAGGGCGTGCCGACGGTGACGGTGGCCATGAGGCTGAGGTTCTTGACCAGACCGCACGCCTGACCTTCGGGCGTCTCGGCGGGGCAGACCATGCCCCAGTGGGTGTTGTGGAGCTGACGCGGCTTGGCGATCTTGCCGTCGCGGCCGATGGGGGTGTTGGTGCGGCGCAGATGCGAGAGGGTCGAGGCAAAGGCGAAGCGGTTGAGCACCTGCGAGACACCGGCCTTGGCCTGCATGGCCTTCTTCTGGTCGCCCCAGTTTCCGGTGGCGAGCGAGTAGCGGAGGCCGTTGGTGATGGTGCTCGACTTGACGGCGGCCTGGATGTGGAACTCGCGGTGCTCCTCGACACACTTTTGGAGGTGGCGGTAGACGTCGCGGGTGACCTTGCGGAAGAGCATGCGGAAGAGGTTGGCCATGAGCGGGCCGCCGAGGTCGATGCGCTTCTTGCCAAAGTGGTCGCGGTCGTCGATCTCGCGACGGTCGAGGGCGGCGAGGAGGAGACGGTGGATCATGTAGCCAAAGAAGTAGGCCTTTTTGGTGTTGGAGCCCTCGGAGGTGGAGACGTGCGGCAGCATCTCCTTTTGCAAGATCTCCTGTGCGTAGACGGTACGCTTGGCGCGCGAGAGGCCGGTGGTGGTACCGCGTCGTCCGATAAAGTCGAGCGCCACGTCGCGGTCCTGGATGACGAAAGCTTCCTCGATACACGGCTTGAGCATCTCGAGCATGGGCGTGTCGTTGAAATCGTAGCAGATGTGCTGGAGGACCTCGCGGTCGGGGACGATGCCGAGCGCACGGAAGACGATGACGATGGGGATGTCGTTGCGGATGTAGGGAAGGGTGGCGCGGATGGTGTTGTTGGCCGTCTTCTCCTTGTTGCGCGAGAAGAGCTTGACCTGCATGGTGGAGATGGTCTTGCCGCCCTTTTCGACGGCGCTGCGGATCTCTGCGAGGAAGGTGACGGGTGCGGGAGGCGCCTTGGAGAAGACGTAGACGTGGTTGGCGGCCATGCGCTCCTGGGCGATGAGCACCTTTTCGGAGCCGTTGATGACAAAGTATCCACCGGCGTCGTAGGGACACTCGTTGAGCGAGTAGGACATCTCGTCGTCGAGGCCCTTGAGCCAGCAGAAGTCGGACTTGAGCATGATGGGCACCTTGCCGATGAAGATCTGCTGCTCGTCCACGTCGGTCTTGCCGTGCTCGGGGACCCAGGCGGCGTCGCCGTTGAGGTCGAGCTCGTCCTCGCTCTGGACGAGCACCTTCTGTGTGACGTCGACAAAGAGCGATGCCGAGTAGGTGAGGTTGCGGTAACGCGCCTCTTGCGGGAAGAGCTGTGCGGAGCTGCCGTCGGATTCGGTCATGGTGGGCTTGTTGAGATAGATCTGGCCGAACTCGATCTCGTATCTGCGAGTCTTGTCCTCTGCATGGCCGGAGTGCTGGTCGCTCTGCTCGAGGGTGAGGCTGCGGACTTCTTCCACGAGTTCCTGGATGGTGTTGGACATGAACTCGTTGAAACTGTCGAGCTGATGACGCACGAGGCCCTTTTCCTCGAAGAATGCGCGGATGACGTCCCA